GCTAATTTTAAAATATCATTTACATACTCATTTCGTAAGTTATCTATACTCATTTGATATTGGTATAATACTCATTTTAAAATGAGCATTACACCATACATTTCAAAATGTCATACTCATGCATATTAGTGTAATGCTCATTTTAGTTTTTTCGATGCTCATTTCATAGGTTATGCATTCTCATTTACTATTTGAGCATACTGGAGATTTTAAGTGAGTTTTTTGAATTTTTTCGATACTCGTTTTGTAAGTATGTATGCTCATTTTATCTTGGTGTAATACTCATATTGTAAGTTACTTATGCTCATTTGATATTGACGTTACTTAAGTTACTTATTAAGTTTTTATAAACCAAAAAATAATTAAAAAAATGACTTAGAAGTTATGAAGCAGATATCACGATTCTGATTATTAAACTTCTAATACTCAACATAATAGGTCTGATGCTCATTAAAAGTTCATTAATGCTCATTAAAAGTTCATTAATGCTCAATTAAAATGTCGTGATGTTCAACTAACAAAGCAACTAACAAATTCATTAATACTCATTTTGTAAGTTATGTATGCTCATCTGGTGTTGATCTTATGCTCATTTTGTAAATGTCATATCAATGCATTTTTAAAAGTACTATTCTACATTAGATTCACATATTGAAATTCATAGGAGTTGATTATAAATATAATGTAATTAATTTTTATAAAAGAAAAATAACAAAAAGAAAGTGAATTAAAAGTTATGAAGCAGAGATCACGATTCTGAATATTGGACTCCTAATACTCAATATAATAAGATTGATGCTCATTAAAAGTTCAATATTACTCATTCTTCAGAAGTCGTGATTTTCATCTCAATAGTGGAGGTTGATGGTCAATTAAAATGTCATGATGTTCAACTTACAAATCTTACGATTTTCTCATCAATGTGCACTTTGTATGTTATGTATGCTCATTTGGTACTGATGTTATGCTCATTTTTACAATGTCATATAAATGCATATTTTAAAAGTATCATATTACATTACACTCGCATATTGAAATTAATAAGAGTGGATTGTAGATATAATTTAATAAGGTTTTATAAAAGAAAAAAAGATTAGAAGATATGAAGCAGAGATCGTGATACTCATTGTTAGCATCCTAATACTCAATAAAATAGACCAGATGTTCACTAAAAGTACAATATTGCTCATTGAGCATCAAACGCCCTCCATAGAGTACAATATTGCAATTGAATACACATAATTTAAAAGTCTCATTTGAGTATAAAAACATTCTCATTGAGTATATTGTTTTCTACTATTGAGTATCAAGATTATGTGTAATGAATATTAGAATTCTTAAAGTGTGCATACAAAATTTCATTTAGAATCAAAAGCATTTTCAATTGAATATCATGTTTTTTTACTACTTTAGTTCTTTTTGCCACGGTCAAACCAGACCAAACACAATTTCCAATGATATCTATTGCAAGCAACCTGTAGTGGATTACAAAAGTGCAGGAAATAAGCAAAACTATTGAAAATTTAATTACAAAGAATTGAAGTTAAATCATATTCGGATTTACCATAAATTAATAAATATTCATGTTAAATTAAAAATAGAAAAATTAAACATTAACACATTAAATATTCATCATAAATTGAAATCAATGAAAAGGTAGTTAAGATAAAACGGAAAGAAAAATAAAAATGAAAACTACTTACAAGTTACAAAGCAAAAGCAGGTTAAGGTGGTTGAGAAAAAAAGAACTGCCGAGTGCGGACATAGTCCACATACACACAGGGAAAGAGGCGAACAGAATAAACAGGGAAAGAGGCGGACGGAAGAAACAGGGAAAGAGGTGGACGGAAGAAGGAGGATCTGATTATTGTTCTTCAAATTAGAAAAAATTACAAAAATACCGGATGTACATGTACATCCGGGTGTACGGTATAGGCTCCCAAATTGGCCGGAAGTGGTGGCATTTTATGGAAAGTGATTTTATGAATGAATCAGGTACTCACATCTAGGCCTGTCAATGGGTCGGGTCTAGACCCGGACCCGACCCAAACCCGGTTATTTTTAACGGGTATGAGTCTATATTTTATTCCGTTTACCCGGACCCGGATCCGGATCCGTTAGTATATTTAATAAACGGGTCGGGTATGGTACATATGATTCCGACCCGTTAAGGACCCGGACCCATTTAAAATTTCTTATTTGTATACAAACACTCTAATACATACAGTAATTAATTATAACACTTCAAGTAAAAAATTACAAACTATATACACACACACATACATAATAATAATAATAGTAATAATAATACATAAAATTATTAGTTGTAATTCTTCAATTGAAAATACACACACTAATACATACCTATTAGTGTGTGTATTAAATTAATACCCATTTTGACCATTTATTCATAGTGATAAATGTGTATTATTAATATTATTATATCATTATCATACACTCCATACAACATGTTTTTATACTCTCAATAGTCCAAAACATCTTTTGTGACTTAATTTGAAGTTTATGCTACGAGCTCTATGTACGAGAAAAAGCGACACAGAGTGTTGAGTTATACGCAAGAACCAATACATTATTGGATAAAAGTAATAACATGAGAAACCTTGATTTTTTTAAAAAGTGAGGATATATTTTGCTTTTTAGTTTCCGCACTTTTATTTACATTTCACATAGAGGTCTTGTTATTTTCACAAAATTTATAACGGTATCATACTTGGCGGGTCTACTCGACCCGGTTCCGAGACCCGTTGGGTCCGGGTCCAGGTCCAAATTTTCAGACCCGCCGGGTAAACGGGTCGGGTCTAGGTCCATTATTAACTTAGCGGGTCTGGGTCTGGAACACTACGTTCCGGCCCGGACCTGACCCATTGACAGGCCTACTCACATCCATTTTCGTTGCTGAGTATTGGGGTGCAAGAATGTTTTCTTTTGGATTGTTTTTAGTCCCAAATTAGACCAGACCAGATCAAATCAGAGCAGACCAGATCAGACTTTCATAGTTATAAAATACACAGAGATTAAATGTGTATCAGACCAAACCAGACCAAATCAGATCAGATCATCAAATTTTAGTCCAAAAGAAAACATGCTAACACTATAATTTACCATTCTCGAAAATTGAATTGGTTAAAGATTAACAGTGAAACCAAATTCCAATGAACATAATGAAGTTGCTCGAAATAGAAAAATACATGAAGCGTACAAAATGGAAATGCTTATCATTCAGAAAGAAAACAGTGATAGGCATGAACTTTATTTATATACGTAGTACATTTTTGTTTTATTTTATAATTCTGAGCACTAATTTATAATCCCCACCTCATTAAATTGTCTCATATTTTCTTTTCGGTTCATTCCAATAAAATTGTCTCATATCAAATTTGATAAAGTTTGTGCGACTATAAACCATTCTTACTTTATTTTTACTTTATAAATTCAATATCAATCACATAAACCCATTTTTTTATAATCGTGTCACACCCACATGTCCTAATGTTAGTGGGGCGAATTTTAATATGATTTCTAAATATATAAATTTCAGTTAATATTATGAACTAAAAAATTATCACAAAACATTTGCCTTTTCCAATTAAAGAAAAAGGTAGAAGAGGGGGTGGAATTTTCGATCCAAAAAAATTAAACGCAGATGAAGGATGTTTTCTTTTAAACTAAAATTTGCTGATCTGGTCTAATCTGATCAGGTCTGGTCTGAGACTGAAAACAATCCAAAAGAAAACATCTGAAGTAGGGAGAAAACAAAATGAGAGTAGAACAATTTGGAAATCCCATATATCGCTGAAGAAGAAGATGTGAGCTGGATGCATAGATGGTGGATAGAGCAGAAGAGAGCGAAGACGAAGTAAGGATTTTTATGAACTTTACTAAAACAACGAAAACTTATTGATGGGATTATGGGACTAGGCTCAGAGTCTAATCGACCCAGACTCCAAATCTGGACCCTGCGAGTTCAGGCCCACGACTTGGACCAGCAGGACCAAGCCCGAATACATTATTATCACTAGGTTAGCCCGACGAGTGGCCCCAGCAACCCAGAGCTCAAGTCGGCCTAGCCGATCAAGCCCATCAAAGAAAGGAAGGCAAACGGAGCAGTCTGTTAGCCTGTCTGCCCAACGAGAGGTCTGCTTTCCAGCCCAGCGAAAGGTATTCTTTCTATCCAGCGGGGTGCCTGCCTCTCAGCCCAGCGGAGAGCCTGCCTTCCAGTGTAGCGATGAGCCTTCCATCCAACTCAATTGGGAGGCTGCCTTCCAGCCCACCATGAAGCCAGCCTACTAGCCTAACGGGAAGCCTGCCTTCAAACCCATCGAGGAGCCTGCCTATCAGCCCAACGAGGATTCTGCCACTGTGAATTTTTAGCTATGTTTCAATCGCAGCTTTTCCGAAAAGCCTATGAGCATCCTTTTTTGGACTAACACTTATAATAGATTAATAGGATCAGATGACTCCTATAATGGGAATTAAACATGTTAACTACTACTGTGAATTTTTAGCTATGTTTCAATCCTATTTAGCGCATTTTTTTTTGTTAAATATTAATGGATATATAGAGCCCGTTTGGTAACTCTGTTTTTTCGGCTTATTAGACTTATCAAACAACTTTTTAACCAAACACGCAACTTCTGATTCCATGAGCTGAATTGTGTAATAATAAGAAAAAGTAAAGTTGGAGTTACTTTCTGGGTGTATTGGCTGAAGTTACTGTAGATGATCATTTTAGCTATTTTTCATGTAATTTTTTCTTTATTTCATTAATATAAAATATTTTAAATATATTTTTTAATAAATAAGCAGAATTAATCAATACAGTCACTTCGGCCAAAACTTCATAAATTTCACCAGAATCAGCCAATTTCAGTATTATCAAACATGCTCATAATATAGTATGTTTCATTTTTAAACATGAAATGAGAATGTGGGACCTAAAAAGCCAAGTGTAAGAAGGTTGAAACGGGAGGGAGTCCTTCAATGACCGTTTTGCACTGTGACAGACAAAGTAACCACCTTCAAGCAATTACCGTTACCGCTTTGTGCCCATTACCCATCAGATCTTATGAACTGTCCGTGAGACCCACGTTTTGCTGGTTCACTCAGATTCAAAACTCGCGACGTTTTTTCTTCTGCACAAAATGGATATGGAATCACCGATCGGAGCTTCGCCTACGCCGCGGGGAACGCTCGAGGTTTTCCTCGTCAACGCCAAAGGACTTGAGAACACCGATTTTCTGTGTACGTTCACCGCTCATATATCTACCTCACCCTTCTCTATTGTCGATTCAATGTATTTTCCGATTCGGACTGATATACATTACATAAAACGTGTCTGATTGTCCGATCTAATGACCGAACCATAATAGGATCAGATACCAGTTCTGTTTCAGGACTTTCAGGATTTCAGATTGCATTCTTGTTCAATTAACGGTTCCAGTGCGCTAATTGAGTTTGTATCTTCGTTTTTCATGGATTTCGTACTGGAAATCGTCTTGAAATGGATGCTTTTGCTATGAAGATTGCTAAATCTTGTGTTGATTATGATATTGCTCCTATTCCTAATCGATAATAAGTTCTTAGGACGACGGAGTTCCTCTAATCTGTTTTATTTTCCCCATCAGCTAATATGGATCCTTATGCAATCCTGACCTGCCGGACGCAAGAGATGAAAAGCACCGTTGCATCAGGTTGAATTGCATATATGTACATTAGATTCTGTATGTCAGTAGTTGAAAATGGTTGCTCCGTTTTATTCTTTTTGTGAAAATGGTTAATGACAGAGTGGTTGAATTGAAATTCCTTGTTCTAAACTGGCAATACATAAATGCAGGTAAAGGTTCTGACCCTGAATGGAACGAGACCTTCATCTTTAATGCATCTGAAGGAGTTACTGAACTTAGAATCAAGTTAATGGATAGTGATAATCTCTCTAATGATGACTTTGTTGGAGAAGCAAAGTGAGTCTTCAGTCCTCTTGAACTAATTCCAGACTTCCAGTAATAGTGATTTGAAGTCAGCTCAACCTACTTATAACTACATTAAATCAGATAAGATGAAGCTGCATTAGCTAGTTTTTGCTTTGTAATGTTTTTGTTGAATTGTTATGATCGATGATGATGAACAGAATCTCCTTGGAGCCTGTCTTTTTGGAAGGGAGTATTCCACAGCAATCATACAATGTTGTGAAAGACGACCGTTTTTGCGGAGAGATTCGAGTTGCCCTTACTTTCAAGAGAGAGGTACGTATTATAGGAATTTTTTCCCTCCCATTTCTTTTTCACTCTAGCTCTCTTAAAAATATATAATTAAACTCAAGTTTTTTAACTACCCATCATTTTCCAATGTTTCTCACTATCCCTCATACTGAAAAATTCCGGTCACAGAAAAGGAGCCAAATTCGTACTCTAGTACTAACATGTACCGAAGTACAGAGCATGTATATGCTATTTTTAAGAGTTTGCACTTTTACTCTTTTACTTTAAAAAGGGATTTATATATTTTAAAAAAAATCACACGAGTAGCAATTTGATAAGAAAATTGATTTTGAAGTGGATTTTATATATTTTAGACACTATAAAATGTGGCCAAAACTGACAATCACTATAAGAAAAGTGATTTTAAAAGTAAAAATCGCAAGTGTGTGATAAATTTATGGCTTAAAGGGTCAAATAGGCTCTTGAACTAACTTAAAGTATTCAATTAGCCCCTTATATAGGAGGTTTTGCCCGGCCGTCGCCAATTGGGGGGTTTCCGATGGAATTTTTTGATGAAATTTTTTGAGCATCTTCTTCATTAAGTCTAGTTTACTCATACCAAATTTCAGCTAAAAATTCAACCGCAAAGGCAGTCAAATGATTTTCCGAAATGTACTGAACTGTTTAACTTCGCAGTTATCTTCAACAAATCATTTGACTGCCTTCCCGGTTGAATTTTTAGCTGAAATTTGGTATGAGTAAACTAGACAAATGAAGAAGATGCTCAAAAAAATTCATCAAAAAATTCCACCGGGATCCACCCCAATTGGCGACGGCCGAGCAAAACCTCTTATATAAGGGGCTAATTGAATACTTTAAGTCAGTTCAAGGGCCTATTTGTCCCTTTAGCCTAAATTTTTTCTTTGGGTAATAAAAAAATCATAGCAGTTTAAAACACTCATGCTTACATTTTTAGCTAAGCACTTTATTGACAAACAACCATTTGAAAACATTTTTTATAATTTAATTAAGCAAAAAGAAGAAAAACTTTATAAGCCATGGATTCGATTCATTGTGTAGGGGTATATGCGGAGTTTTTACCATTTTTGGTCCCTCGATTATTATGTCATTAACACTTTTGGTACTTGACTTTGGTTTTCTTTTTCACTTTTAGTCCTCAACTATTGTGTTAGAGAAATTTTTAGTACCCATCTTTGAAAACTTTCATATTTAGTCTTTCGACTTTCATAAAATTGACACTTTTGATCTTTCAATTATTATATTAGTGACATTTTTAGTCCTCCATTCATTGTGTCAAAAACATAGTGGAAGGACTAAAAAATGTCAATTTGATCATACTCAGAAGGCTAAATGTGGGAAACTTTTAAGTTGAGGACTAAAAGTGTCTCTAGCACAATAGTCGAAGACTAAGAATGGAAAAATTAAAAAGTCGAGTACCAAATATGTCACTGACACAATAGTCGGGGAACAAAAATGGAATAAACTAAAAGGGGACTAGAATAAACAACTAAAAGGGAACTAGATGCTTAGTTTGTGTTTTGACTGTTTTCCATTAACAGAAACTGTAATTTCCTATTTTTTGTTTAAAAAAGATATACGCAGTGTCTTAAAGAAGTGCATTGGCTTAAAGTCTTATGCATTTTAATGTCAAAAGTTGTGAGGAAAAATGAGTGTTTAAAACTAATTTTTTACTTTTCTTTTAGGGGGTACATTACCTACTTAATAAACCATAAAGTTCTATTTTTAACAAACATTGTACATTTACTTTTTAAAAAAGGAAAAAAGGTCAAATAGGCCCTTGAACTAACTTAAAGTATTCAATTAGCCCCTTATATAGGAGGTTTTGCCCGGCCGTCGCCATTTGGAGCAGTTCCCGGTGAAATTTGTTGAAGAATTTTTTTGAGCATCTTATTAATTAAGTCTAGTTTACTCATACCAAATTTCAGCAAACAATTCAATCGGGAAGACATTCAAATGAATTCTTGAAGATAACTGCGCAGTTATCTTCAACAATTCATTTGAAGGTCTTCCTGATTGAAGTTCTAGCTGAAATTTGGTATGAGTAAATTAGACTTAATGAATAAGATGCTAAAAAAAATTCATCAAAAACTTCCACCGGGAACCGCCCCAAATGGCAACGGCCAGACATAACCTCCTATATAACTGCTTATTTGACATTTTTATGTAAGTTCGAGCGTCTATCTGATCCTTTTTCCTTTTTTAATAACCATGTCACCTTATGTCCTGGGTCGGAGGTAGTATTTTTTTCAAAATATTACATACTTCGTACTAGTTATCTATTACTACTAAATACTTTTTATAAAACATCACATACAACGTAATCTTTTCCATCTAAATACTTATTTACTTAAAATTAATTAAATTTTAAAGTAGAATGAAACAAAAAATTTAAGTATGAGAAAATTGGTTAATTGCTATTTGGCACATTGATTTTCGTCGTAATAAGTTTACTACAGTATTTATAGTCTATTAAACTCCAAGAGTAGTAATTTGATGTTAAATTAGCAGATGCAAAGGAGATATGAAGCCGATGAGAGCTATGGTGGTTGGAAAGAATCGTCTAGAGATTACTGATCAAAAGTTAACTCTAGACTCTTCTATGCTAATTTTAATTTTTGTGACACTCATCGAAGTTGAAGAGTTTGTTTGAGAAGTGTCGATGAGGGGGTGACACCATGGTATTTTTATGAATGTATTACTATTTCACACACAAAATAACTTTATATAGTGAGTTTGCTCGCTTTGTGATCATGTTTGTCGACTTATCAATTTTATCATTAATTTTTTTATTTCGCGCGTCGAATAATGTAATAATCAAAATAAGTAAGGTTGATGTTATTTTCTGACTGGATTAGTTGAAATTATCTTAGAAGAACACTTTTAACTATTTTTCATATTTTTGTTTATATTTCAACACAATGAGCTACTCTGGCAGCTTCAACAGAAATTATAATTAGCCGATTCAACTAATTTCACTTTCATACTATACATTATCAACATTTTATGCCAATAACCTTAGTTAATTCTCCTGTTTACCTACATTAGCCGATTGCCGCCCCCAATCCATTTTAGCCATCACAATCAACGGACTGCCCACCTGCGTACTCTTCCATCTTGTTTATGTTGCACTGATGATTCAAGAAACAAAAATGTTTGGTGTTTTATTGGTGCACTGCGGAAATAATAATGTTTGAGGATTGTCGGTCGCTAGTGACTAGGAGTTGGGCCATGGGACAGATTGAGCTTTGCGGTAGTATGGTGGGGGAGTGGGGCCGAAGGAGGTATGGTTCTTTGGGCAAGAGAAATAGTTATTGTCGCAAGCGTCTGGAGTACCTTCGAAGACAGTCTGGGTTTTTAACAGGTCAAAAACTGAATAAATGGCCGAATTGATCAATTTTTTAAAGTAAGGGTACTTATATGATATTTCTTTAGTACAAAGGTTTAAGTAATAAATTGAAAATAGTAGAAGTGCATATTTAACCCTTTTTTCCTTTAATTTTTAATTAGATCACGAGTAAATATGTATGCACCGACTGCTCTCATATCCGTGCGTATGCACGGGTACTACACTAATATTTACATGAATTAAATATAAAAGGCATGTATATAGCTACATTCATGAAATTTCGTGCTTCATAGATGGCCGTCGGGCATTAGTAATAGGCAGTGTGAATGTGTGATGACGGGAAACGTGGTACAATAGCCCTATACTCTGCTCATTTCATTTTTTTTTTCTAATTTGACTTGAATTGAAATTTAATAAGTTGAGAATAAAATGGAAACATGTGGTTTTACTTACTAAAAATGAAAACCAAGTGCACAAAACTTTCAAATGGGTAATCACATGATTAGTGGATTATGGGGTTATCCCGGATATGGGGTCATCCTGATCCCCGCATCCGCCATCATCAGCACCAAACTTCTACGACCAACCAATGCCACCACATAGTAAATCAAGGCAGACGCAAATTGAACAAAGCAAAGAGCTGTTGCTCCGCGCAATATCTTTAAATGCAGAGAGGTCCCGCATGTTTGACCGTTTTGCAGCTGAAAATATCCCACAAAAAATAAAAGTTCTGCTCCAACAAACGCGACACTGCACATACACATGCACTTCGTATATCATACATGGGATAAATTCAACAAAGTATTTATAATTTTATTTTAGCAATGTAACCATGGCACCTAGTGTAACACCTCCTGTAATGTGAGTACAAAATGATCGTCTCTTCAACATTCACCCAACATTATTTACAATGATCACGAGTTGAATATTGTGAACGACTCTTAATATTTTAAAATCCTCACGTCATACTTTCAATAACTTTGTATGTAATTCACAATTTGTACACTCTTCTGAGTTCTGATCATACTTCTTTTTCGGATTAATCCTTTATTCTAGCACGTTATTCCATTATTTATAAACAATAATTCAATTTGTCATTTCTTTTTCTTTGTTGAGGGTAAAACAATCAAATATTTATAATATCACCAAATTTTCATATGGGAAGATATAATTGTTATGGAGGGAGCACTAATACTAGTGGGACGGATGTAATACCACTAGTAACATTGTCTTATTTTATTTTTTTGAAAACTCTCTCTAAGATTGTCTCATATCAAATTTGATGAAGCTTCTGTGGGTCTAAATCATTCTTAGTTTATTCTTACTTTATCAATATAATATCAACCACATAAACTCAATTTTCTTAATAATTGTGCCACTTTCTCATGTCCTAATGTTAGTGGGACGGATGTAGTACCATTCTTGAAAGTAAAAAATGATAGCAATGATGATGCAAACAATTTCACATTTTTAAAATGTGATTGTGTTAAAAATAATGCTACATTCGTACCATTTTTTGTGTCTTTTTTTGGCGTGACACAATTATTAATAAAACAGTTGAAAAACTAAAAGTTATGATTAAGATTTGACTATAATAAAGTAAAATGTTGTGGGTCGTATATTTTTTTAAAATGAGAATTAAATGTGACACTTATTTTGGGACAACTAAAAAAACAAGATTCATGGGAGTATCAATATACTTTGCATCATACTTCTCCGTTCTTTTTTTAATTGCAATATTCCAATTTCATGTTTGCCAACGCACAAGTTTGATCACTGATATTTTTCATTCCTTATTAGTTAAAAATTAAAAAAATTATATATTGAAAATTTAAAATGAAAGGAATCTAATAATGTTTTTCAAAAGTAAAATTTAGGGGTTTTGACATAGATATTACTAAAAAATAGACAATAGACAAAAAAGAGACCTTTTTACTTAATTTCCGAAAATGTGACTAATTATCAATTTCTTTACTAATTTGTCCTCCCTCCCTAATTTTTCACTGCGCCGTACGTCATTAACCAATAATCAACTCCGTAAGACACTAAGCCGTAGCAATCCACTCTCTCACATTAATGTTATCGTTTTTTCACACCAACAATCCGTAACATTGAACTGGCAACTGTTTTTTTACCTAGTATCAAGTCTATGACAATTAATGTCTTTTCATTTTAATATTATTTATGAAGATAATACTCCGTAGTAAGGTATGAAAATTGCGTAACAAATGTTCTAGTGGCCAATTCTCCAGTTACTATCGCTTCAGTTACTATCACTTCAATTATTATTAATGCTCCAGTTACATCATCTCAGTTACTACTGTTTTAGTGACCACCGTTTCAGTTACTACCACTTCAATCACTGTCCCAGTTACCATCGCTCTAATGATCATCATCCCAGTTACTACCGCTTCAGTGACTATCATTCCAGTTACTAACGCTCTAGCAAAAACTTTGATAAATTGTGACTCCCGCCCAGTGACCAATTCCGATAGTGACTCTTGTTAAGTGACCACCGTCCAATGACCACCGCTGAGCAGTTACAGTTACACCCACCCAACACCCGTCAGTGACAAAATTTTCAACTCCAGCCGACGTCGGGCACCACACTAGCAACTGTGCCCCGGTTCACCGCCGCCGCCGGTGCCCTGCCGCGAACCAACAGTGGCCAAACGCCAAGGTGACCACCCCGCCCATGTCATCTCCTGTGACCAGCTACCTAACCCGTCTCAAGCACCAACCCCAACCCTCTCTCTAGCCTCTCCCCCATCCCCAATCCCCCACCACCGCCTGCCGGCCACCCCCAACGCCTGCAGAGTCGGTATCTAACAACACTTTCCACCCCTGCCACCCTCAGTCCCTCTCCAGCCCACCACCAACCCCTCTCCGATCCCAACCAACCCAACCCCTTCCCCTGTCCCTGATATCCCACCGGGCACGCAGCTGCCATCACCTCTTCCGCATCTCCAAGTTTCTGCACTAGACAAGCCACCATCCCCAACCCGGAATCAGCTCTCACCGCATCTCCGGTAGAAGAAAGGAGAAGAACACGAGCTGAGGAAGAGTAGATCCAATCGTTCGATTAGCAACCAACGGCGACGATAATGGCCTTAGCGGCGGCGATGTTATTGACCATCGATTGTGGTGTGGCGGATTTTCCTTTGGTTGCAGCAGACAAGGTACGAAGAAGAAGGAATGATGCGACAGATTTCTCTTTGGCTGCAACCGAGGGAGGCACGACGAAGAAGGAAAGAAGATTATGGATTCGGGTTCTGTTTTGTATTTACGTGAGGGTGTATTTGTCCGTTCTGATTTAATTAATCTCTTGTTTTGTCAAGATTAAAAGTTAGTCCTTTTTTGTCTAACGGAAGTCTGGTAGTATTATTCCTGCCATTTTTTCTAAAATCTATAGATAATACATTTCAAAGATACAATTATAGAAAGTTTTGCCATGTGTCATCTTCTAAATAAACCTTTAGTATTATAATATTGTAGATTATCTTTCCAATTTAGGATATTAATCGTGCGTTACTTTAGCATTTGAGTTATATTAGAAATCTCATCTCATTACGTTAATTTAGTACTAAAATTCTGGACTTCTTCCAAAGTGGGAATCACTTCATGAGACCCCAATCCAAAAAAAACTCTTTATTTTTAAATTGATATAACTCTTTTATTTTTAATTTAATTTTTACAAAAAATATATCAAAATTTGTGATTTTTTATTATCTTTCATTTGACACCAATATTGCATATGTAAAAATAAAAATAATTTTAAACACAGGAGATAGGAAAGTTTTTAGGCTCAAACTTTTTTAAAATAGAAATTATCCTAAATAGGAAACTGCCATATTCAAATCTTGATAATGTCAAAATTGGCAGGAATTAGTCTTATTTATCAAATTTTAACACATGCAGTCTTGCTGTTTTAATTTTCCCCACTTTCATTTTATGATATTCCACTTTGTACCCAATTTTATGAATGATTAGGAAGTTATTAGATAATTCTAAACAGTTTTATTGAAATGATATGGAATGCTTAAAATATTGTATCTATAGATAATAAATTTGAAAGATACAATTATGGAGAGTTTTGCCATGTGTCATGCTATAAATAACTCTATCATAAATTTAGAAGTAATTAAAAGCTCCCTAAAATTTAGTCATTCGTGGATTATTACTCCTAACTACAACTCTTACGTAAAAAGGCTTTCCTAGCATTACTTAAAAACTCTTTAATTTTATGGATTAGAATCTGAACTCCAGGATCGGACTTAGATTAGAATGCAACCAAATTAGAATTCTAAAGGGAGAAAATCATTGAGGGCCCCACCGGAATAAAATTCCACGTTTCTTTTACAGTGCTATAATTTTTAAATTTGTATTGTCATTGTTATAAAAATATAACATAATTCATAATTTTTTATTACCTTTCATATGACACCAATATTGAATATATAAAAATATAAAAAAAAACTTTAAAAAAATATCAGTTTTTTAAACTTTAAAGTGCTGTTTTTTTGTTTGTACTCTTATTTTTACAAAAAATATATCAAAATTAATAATTTTTTATT